AACACCAGAAAAATCAATTGCTTGTTTTTGAATCAGAACTCATTACTATTAAAATGTCAGTTCAGCACAAATTGATCTATAGACCCAATTTATTTTTTTTATAGACCCAATTTAATCCCAATCAAAATCCCAGCAGAATTTTTGTTTGCTTGTCTTTGGTTTTTGTTTTGTTTTTAAATAGTTTACTTATTTATTTGACACAGAGAGAGAGAGTATAAGCAGGGGGAGCAGCAGGCACAGGGAGAAGGAAAACTAGATTCCCCACCTAGCAGGGAGCCTGCCCGATGTGGACCTTGATCCCAGAACCCTGAGATCATGAGCCTAAGGCAGCTGGCCAACCAACTGAGACACCCAGGATTTTCTTTTTTTCTTTTCTTTTTTTTTAATTAAGAAGCTGATTCCAAAATTTCTATGGAAGTGCAAGGGATCTAAAATTACAAAATCAAGATAATTTTTATTTTATTTTACTCTGAGGTACAATAATCATGACAACGTGATATTGGTATAAGTAGACAGACAAATCAATAAAACACAAGAGAGTTCCTAAGTAGACACACACATAATGGTCAACTGATTGTCAAAAAAAGGTGCAAAGAAATTCAATTGAGAAAGACTAATTTCTTTCAATAACTACACTAAAACAATTAAACTTCCATATGCATCCACATAATACTGGATCAACTGAATTCCCATATGAAAAAAAAATCATAACCCCTAACTCAGACCATTCATAAAAATTTCCAGGTAGATTGTAATGGCAAAACAATAAAGCCCAAAGATGATTACATACGAGAATATCTTCTTGACTTACAGTAAGCCAAGTTTTTTTAGCAGAACAGAAAAATCTCTATCCATAAAGGAATAAAATAACTCCAATTTATCAAAATTACTTCTAAATATTAAAAATGTTTAATATAATGAAAGAAAGAAGATATTTTTAATATCCACAACTAACAAAAGACTCATATCTAGAATATACAAAAAGTCATCAGAGAAATAAAAACTAAAACTACAGTAGAAAGCCACTATATACGCTTGCATCAAAAATACTGACTCTTGCAAACACCAAGTTAGTAAGAATGTAAAGGAACTGGAATTCTTAAACATTACTGATGAGTGTCAGTTAGAAAATCTACTGTGAAAACTGTCTGGTAAAATCTATTAAGTTGAATATATACTTTATGACCTAGCGATTTCATCATAAATATAAACCAGCAGAAAAATCTACATTTAGGCACCAAAAGTAATGCAAAAATATGTACAGAGCAGCACTCTTCATTACGGCCAGAAACTGTAAAAACTCAACTGTCCATCAATCTAACATGAATAAATAAATTATGATCTATTTATCAATGAAATGAATGAACTACTACATGTTGAGACCTCACAAACACAACATTGAGTAAAAGAAGCCAGAATCAGGAGATACAACATACTATATAGATCCTAGTCATGCAAAGTTCAAAAGAGGCAAAAAACTCACTATGTAATAACCTAGAATAATTGTTACCACTGAGGTGAAGAAATAACTGGTTGGAGGCACAAGGGGTGCTCCTAGGATTCTGGTAAGTTTCTATTTCTTGACGCGCGTGTTTACAATGTGAAACTGTATTGAGTTGTTCACAATAATGGATGCACTTTCCTGAATTTCCTATCCTTGGTAAATCATTAAATAAAACCTTAAATATAACCAATCGTGTGACTTAGAAGCAATGTCTATACATTGTAGGGGCACAATAGAGGCTATAGGAAGGTAGCATATATACCAAAGGCAAAACATGTAGTGCAAACACTGTAAACAATTCTTAGCTAATTCCTAGCTAATTGTTATGTGAATACTCTAAAACTAAATCCTGGGTTTAATATTTTGCCATTGTTTAGATGTAAGTATAGGGGTAAGCTGTAAGATCATGAATGAAAAATAATCACTATGTGGGCCAACTTTGCTGGATCTCTACAGTTCTACCCACATATGACCGTTCCTTTCACCATCCTCCCCTAATACTATCCATGTCCTATCTTCCATAGGCAAATTCTTTAGGTAATCAAATGTCCACATTATTTATCACTTCAGGTCTCAAATTAAAGCACTAAAGTCAGTAAAACAGATTAAAACAGAACCCTGTTGTAATGCTACATAAATTATAGCCTTTAGTAGAAGAATAAATTTTCTAAATTACTCTCAAATTCTTCTTGAAAATAAGTCAGTAGGGGTGCCTGGATGGCTAAGTCAGTTAAGTGGCTGCCTTCAGCTCTGGCCATGATCCCAAGGTCATGAGATCGAACCCCACATCAAGCTCCCTGCTCAGTGGAGAGCCTGTTTCTCCCTCTCCCTCTACCTGCCGTTCTACCTACTTGCGCACTCTCTATCTCTCTGTCAAATAAATAAATAAATATCTTAAAAAGAAAAGAAAAGAAGTCAATAAATATACAAAGAAAAATATCCTCTATCTCCAATATTTTTTAACTTTCCCAAATACTTTAAACTTATTATTTGCTCTTCATTAGTCCTTTGTATTGTGCCACTGGACAAAACCCTTAAAAAAAAAAAAAGGCTGGAAACTAAAATATGTTTCTAGTATCAAAGGGTTGCTTGAATCAGAATTCAATCTCCTGATACTTCAACTCCCCACTGAGCTAAAATTCCTTCCAAATTTTTCGGAACAGTGCTCTACTGTTACTATCTCTGCTATCCATAGGATAAGCATTGGCCATTCCCCAAATTCCAGAACCATTTGCCATTTCACTGCTTTCCTCCCACACTCAAGTGGCAGGAGTTCAATTTGGCAGTTTGTCAGAAAGAATCCTAGTATAAAGCACTTGGTGATTTTTAACCAAATAGATTTGTTGTGTATACAGCATATGCCATATATATCACATCATATGATTTCACACATTATAATAGAACATAGCGAAGGATATATAACATAATCCTAGAATTCAAATGTACTTCTCTTTGAGACCTTCTCTTTAAAATAATTTTATTATTTTACTTTTTTTAAAGATATACCATTTCATGACAACTTATGCTATTAATGTTCCCTAAGAATGACCAATGTCATATATACTTATTATTAGGTGTTTTATAAAAACTATGTTGTCAAATCACATTATGTGATAAAAACAGTACTAAGATAGCATTCATATTCCTTACCAAAAGACTCAGCAAAGAAACCATGAGATAATGTCACAAGTGCAAAGATAAAATCATTATAAAATTATATAACAGAAAGTGAAAAAAATGATGCTCCTTTTTTTTTTTTTTTTTTTTATTTAACAAACACTTGTTAGGTGGTTGTTATGTGTCAGGCCTTGCTCATCAAATAAGACCTGGTATTTGCCACCTTCAAGGAATTAAGAGTGTAGACTTACTGAACATGTAAATTAATGTTTGGTGTATGAGGTAGTAAAGCCTATGAAAGAGAGATGCTCAGAGTCTGTGGGGACAGAGAAGAGGAACATCTAAATCAGCATTATGAGGTCAGTACACACTTCCCAGAAAAGACCTTGGCTGAGCTTTGCTACAATGAATAATTGGCTGAATGAGAGGGGGAATCCAGGTGAAGGGAACAGCTGGTAACAGAAGTGCAACATGGACCATTCAAGATACCTTAAGTTCTTGTTTGGAGGAAAGTTTGAGGGGGACAGAATCAGGGAATGAGAAGGGAGAGAATGGCAGAAGCCCAATTCTGAAACGCTGAGGGAGCTAAGTTTAAACATCTGAACCTGATCCAGAAACACAGTCCCTCTAATCCTTCAAAAGCTACAGAAAGGATTTTAAGCACAGAAGCAAAATGAGTATATTTTCATCTTTAAAGGATATATTTGGCTTTGGTATAAGGTAAGGCCAATACAGTAATCCTAAATTCAGGAGTCAACATTAGTAATGGAGAAGAGGGAAAGATCTGAAAGACAAAAGGAGACAGAATTTGTTAAACTTAGAGACTAACTGGAAGAGAGGGGGAAATGAGAAAGAAGAGTCTAAACTGACTTGGTTACTAATGTAAATGAAGGTACCAGAACAGAGAGGACAGAACAAAGAGTGGGTCTAAGGTGGCAGGGGGGAGGGAGGAATGATGAATTCATGAGAAATTATCTTAGGCATTCTGTTTTCTTTATATTTTCTGAAGAGTCTCTATAAAATATAAATCATATATAACAATATATAGCAAATAAAAAATAGTTCCCTTATATTTGATGTTAAGTTTATTGTAGCTACTATATTCATCTTAATTATTTAATTAGCAAACATTTCCTGATTTTCATAAAGTTATGTTGGGAAGAGAAATATTTCAACACCCCAAGTCTCTTTCACACAGCTAAACAGGAATATTTAAGTTTTCTTATCCTCTCAAAATAGTTCCTTGCAGCAAGATGATGCATAAATAGGACAGTTCTTTTACAAAACAGACTGCAAATGATATTTACATGTTAGAAAACTGTTGTAGTATCATAAGTAAATACATTAAAAGGTAAAATGTACACTTTCATTTTATAATATTAACTTAGCAACAACATGAGTTATGCATAGTTTATGCAAAGCATTTATTTTTAAGTTTAGTAATTCTAAACTAGAAAATAGAAAAATAAAAAAATGTATTCCTGAGTGGTCAGGTCTGTAATTTATTATCTCCAACTATTAACAAGGAACTTTATAATTTATTTATGTATGGGAAAATACACCTTCAGCTTCATTAGTCATTTCTCATTATATCTATGACAAAACAGGATACACTTCTCTTTGCTTATTATGAATAAACTATGGCATGTGAGGGGAAGAAAGAGCCTGCAGGGACTAAACAACTGAAGGAAAGAACCAGGAATAGTACTCTGAGCCTTAGAGCTGACTAATGAGCCACTCTGCCTCCCACAGCTAGCTCCTCAGAGGTCTTTGTAGAGCTAATAAACTCACAACAGAAACAAAACACTCACAAATCTAATTCCATAACTAACACCCTAAGGATATACAGTTTGCTCCTGACCAGAATTAGAGTACTCACTTTCTTTGCGAACTTCCTCAAGTGCAGTAGTAAGCTCCTTCTTCAAAACTGTGGCTTCCTGAGCAATCTTCTCCCCCTTGTCTAATAAATTCCAAGTTGCTTCCTCCACAGAAGCTAGGAGGACTCTGGCTCGTTTTGAACGTCCTTTTTTCCTGTTGGAAGGATTCTGGGGACAATTTACAAGTGTAGTAACCTAAAATTGGAAAAATACAAGCCACTCATTAGACAAATTGTGAGAACATAGTCCTGGGACATCACAGCCTAGAACAAAAGGAAGTATTTCATAGAAACATGATTTATTCCCAGTACTACTGATACAACCTCATAAGTCAAGTCACTACATTAAGAGCAATATTATCAGCCACTATGGAATTTCCAACTAAAGATAAAAAGGAAAGAAGGAAGGAGGTAAGAAGGGAGAAAGAAAGGACAGGAGGAAAGAAGAGCCACAGAGATTGAAACTTATCAAGTTTTACTATTGAAACAATGCAGTGTGTGCATGTGTGTGTATTACATGTATGTATAAATATTTACATATAATAATTATTTATATGACTTTGTAGCTAGCAATCTATATTAAGAGGGTGGCAAAAATCATCATAATTCGGTTAGTAAGTATTAGTAAGTATTAGTCTAAGTATAGAGATTATTAATGTGGAGGGGGTACAGAACCACTCAAACATAAAACACTGGTTACCTCAGAGGAACAAAACCCAAATCATGACCTACATGTTGGCCCTCTGTAACCTCTCCTACCTGTCTCCTACACTCTCCCCTAACTCATTAGGACTCTAAAACAGGTCTTGTTCAAAGTCTCCTATCAAGAGGACTTTCTTGATTATCCCATCCCTACCCTCTCTCAATCTTTCCCCTCACCCTACTTTATATTTCCACAAAACTTACAGAACCTGATTTTTTTTGTTTATATGTTTATTTCATGCTCCCAATACTAAAATGTAAACTCCATGAAAGCAGAAAATGTGTTTTTTTTTCCTCCAGCACCCAGAACAATGCACAAAGTAGGTGTCCAATAAAATATGTATTATATAAATGGCTTCATGAACGGGATAGTTGAAAAGAGGGGTTTTTTAATCTTTATATTTTGAATTGTCTGAGTATGTTAATAATGAGCATTATTCCTTTTGTAAATATGTTTAAAATAGGAATAAACTAGGGGCACCTGGGTGGCTCAGATGGTTAATCGTCTGCCTTTAGCTCAAGTCATGATCCCAGGGTCCTGGGATCTAGCCCACAGCAGGCTCACTGCTCAGTGGGGAGTCTGCCTCTCCCTCTGCCTGCCACTCCCCCTGTTTGTGCTCTCCCTAATAAATACATAAAATCTTTTTTTATTTTAAAAAAAAAGGATAAACTAATAATAAGGCCATTATTTAGAGACAGAAATGAAGCATCTGGGGCACCTGGCTGGCTCAGTCAGTTGAGTGTCCACTCTTGATTTCGGCTCAGGTCAAAATCTCAGGGTTGTAAGGTTGAGCCCTGCATTGGGCTACATGCTCATCATGGAGTCTGCTTGTCCCTCTCCCTCTGTTCCTTCCCCCACTCACACTCTCTCTCTCTCAAATAAATAAATAAAGAAAACCTTAAAAAAAATTAAGCATCTGTATTTGGAAACTAAATCTTATACAAAATTACACTGTAAAAAATATCCATTTATTAATTAAACCTTGAATCCCAATAATAAATTTGGTTAATATTTTTATAAGCAAAGCTGGAAGATACCCACTATAGAAGAAGAAAAAAAAAAGTTGTATCCAGTATTGAAAATGGCAGACCTGAAACTCCTATAGAAAGCTAGACTCCTACTTATTATCAAATAGCCAAGGCTTTTAACAACCATGCACCATATCTTTGACAATGTGCTATACATAACCCTTCCTGTTCTGTAGCTCCTAGAGGTTTGGCTTGTTTATTGCTTATAGAGCACAACATATTTGTTTATTTGTATATCTGGACCCAGTTTTTTAACTAGCAACTAAGAAAGAACTTATAAGTTATGGGGGAAATATGTAGATGAAAATAATTTTTGCCTGCCCTTCTCTTTATCCATCCAATAGACCCCTTGCTTTATGCTAATTTGCTTTATTCTCATGTTCACAACCCATAGTGCAGTACCTTGTAGCAAGTCTTTGTTTCCTCTCTTAGAAAATGAGAACAATCATATTATCCTATGACTGTGTGAAGGTTAAATATGTAAAATGTCTTATAAAATCCACAACATGAGGAGCCTGGGTGGATCAGTTGTTAAGCATCTGCTTTCAGCTCAGATCATGATCTCAGGGTCCTGGGATCGAGCCCCGCATCATGCTCCCTGCCTACTTCTCCCTCACCATTCCTGTGCTTGTGTACCCTCTCTCTGTGTCTCTGTCAAATAAATAAATAAAGTCTTCAAAAAAAAAATCCACAACATAACACAGATATTGGTTGACATTTAATGCACATTTTCTAGTCCATTCCCCACGTGGATACAGAAAATCTGTATGGGATCCTTATCAGAGGTGTTCTCTTGGGACTACCCTCGTGTTGCTCTTGGGGTCCCCTGTGCTAAATGTAATGAAGTCTGTTAACAGAACACATTCTGTATGTTTTGCAAGCAGTAAAATAGGGCCAAATGTCTTTATTATATATTAAATAAAGATGATAACATGCCTATGGATTTTCACATACTCCAAAAGGCAAATTTCTCACTATTGTCAGTCTAATTTATATATTAAGAGTTAAAAGATATTGGTTCAGATTAAGACAAATTATAGCACCTAGTTTAAAATCTTTGTTTAAAATGAAAAATAAGTTTCATTGTCTAAATGTTCCCTCAGAATGTATTTTAGGTGCCACAATTCATGACGCTTCCCACTGAACATTCCTCTATTATTGTTCAGATCCTCCATGCGCCAAATGTTTTCCATAGACTAGCCTGAGCTTTGAAATTAAAATGAGCATTCCAGAAATGCTTTGTTCCTTACAATAAATGCCAAACAAGAAATGTGAAAAGAACATTGTATAAGAACATTGTGCTTCCATCAAAATAAATGCAATTGCAACCAGCAAGTTATTCCCATTTATAAATCATTTATACCTATGTCTTCTGAAATACCCAATACGGTTATTTAATATTGATTAAACTCAAGTGACACTTTCAATGATTCACTTTATTTCAGAAAGTAAAGATGGTTTGGTAATCCTCGGGGCGGGGGGGGGAACTAAACCTTTTTTTTTCTTTTTTTTTAACATCAACTTACCTATAGGATCTAACCAATTCCCCTCAGTGACTGTGACCCAGGATAACAAATGACTTTCATCAAAGGTTGGGAGTGCATTTGTTATCTGAAAAAGTCTCCCATCTCTTGAAGAAATATCAGCAATCAGTAAAAATTAGCTTTCAGGATATCCTGTAAAATAATTTGTTTCCTCATTCTCTTTTTCAGTTATACAAAATCAGTTACATTTTTATAAGCAACAAAAAACTTCAGTTGGAATTAACAGCAAAGATGATTCTAATTTAAGTCATAGTCTATGTCTTCATAACCTTTCTTTTTGTCACTCATGCACAACCCTCCCCTTTTTCTCTTTCTCAGACCGTAGGGGGTCCCTGCCATCTGGAAATTTTTTGGTTCCTCCAGTCTCTTAAAGACCCTGGGTTCACTCACTTTCTTTAGTCTGTAAATCTGAGGTAGGCTACAGACACACCTTCATACATACATACAGAAATGAGCTCCCTACTGAAATGGTCCTACATTAGATACTTCAAATAATATGAAAAGAAGAAATCCCCTGCTTTATTAATTCTGCACATTTAAATCCCATAAAACCAGGTATATTTTTAATGTTGTATAATATTTATATACTGAAATTTAAAGTACAAAAAAAAGATCTTTCTAATCTTTCCTAATTCAGATGTGCTTCTCTAGATGTTCCAAAGATACTGATAATTAAATTGAGATGTTTAGTGAACCTAGCTATTAACTGTCATTATATAGAGCAACACTAGTGTACAATAGGAGCACTGCAGAATATGGCATGAGGCTTAATTTACTTTGATTTGTTGCATTAATACAACAATGCCTTTAGCACTTCAAATGCTAGCTTTATAGAAAGTCTTTTCCAAATGCCAACTTGGGTTAATACATATATATTCTATAACCATGCTCTTTCTCAATCTATTTTTCTAATTCTATTATCATTATAGTATAAAAAGGCCATGTTAACACCATCTCCTCTTTTGTTTATTAGCTAAAACACTGAATTTTAACTTTCCTCCAATAGCTCACAGGAACCTTCAGGGCTACTTTTGCTTCCTTGAGTTAATTTTAACATGTGAAATAAAATAGAAGACATTTAAGTCGTATTAATTAGCTAAAAACTTCAGAGTTCTGAAGGAAAGTAAAGGGTAGAAAAATAAAACTGTCTATAGACAGTTGTCTACAGTAAAACCAGTGATCTTTTAAAGTAAAAGATATCCATCTACTCTTGGGAAGGGAAGGGTCCCTTCTTCAAGTTATTGATAATTTCAACTGTTATTTATTTCCTACCAAAAACAACCTTCATTGTGTTAACAAAAGTACTGTGGAAGACTGAAGTACTGAGACTCCATTAAGAATTGACACTTAAGGGACGCCTGGGTGGCTCAGTTGGTTAAGCAGCTGCCTTTGGCTCAGGTCATGATCCCAGCGTCCTGGGATCGAGTCCCACATCGGGCTCCTTGCTCATCAGGGAGCCTGCTTCTCCCTCTGCCTCTGCCTGCCATTCTGTCTGCCTGTGCTTGCTCTCTCTCCCTCTCTCTCTCTGACAAATAAATAAATAAAATCTTTAAAAAAAAAAAAAAAAAAGAATTGACACTTAACACTCACCTTAAACCAACTACAATCTTCTTTTAGATCATCTTGGGCCAATAAACACTTACTGAGCACATGCTATGTTCAAAACAATACCCTGGACATTTAGAAAGTAAAGATGAGTACATTCCAGTACAGTGATGAGAGATACACAACTAGCTGCAATACAAAGAACAGGACGGTAACTGCTTAGACTTTTAAGTACAAAGAAAGTGCTAAAGAGATGGCAAACATTCACAAGGATTAAGTAGGGCTTTGAAGAAGAGTCTTTAAGAACCGACAGATTTCTACCAGGACAGATAGCAGGGAAAGAGAGCCAAGTGAAGGGAACCATGTGCAAATCGGC